TTTCAGGCATAAGACTTAAGTGATTTCTGTTGATATAAGTATCTCCCCAACTGAAGTCGTGCTTGAACTAACACAGGCAGCCCAAGCGCACTATTTGTGGGTTCGGGCTTCAGAGGTCATTTAGTCGGAATATACGAGAATTATTAGTGTATCATCTGATGCCAAGTAAATGCAAAAAGTCTTAAAGATATGAAGTCTTCTTGTTTGTCTATATGTACTAGTAGCTTTTAAGATAACGAAGGTCGATATTTCTTGCATTATTACATGTGATTCGGGCCCTTATTGTTCGAATTTTATCACATGTATTCAAATCTACAACGCTAAGAAAAAAAATCATGATCACGCGAAATATTGATTCACAAATCTCCCTTACCTTTAGTTTCATAGCCACTCTGTGTCCTACGGTCGGTTTAAACGCCGTTTAGTCGACTTTCTTCCCATCGAGTACTGAACACCGACCGTAGGACACAGAGAACTAAAGGTAAGGGAGATTTGTGAATCAATATTTCGTGTGATCATGATTTTTTTTTCTTAGCGTTGTAGATTTGAATACATGTGATAAAATTCGAACAATAAGGGCCTGAATCACATGTAATAATGCAAGAAATATCGACCTTCGTTATCTTAAAGGCTACTAGTACAGATAGACAAACAAGAAGACTTCATATCTTTAAAACTTTTTGCATTTATTTGACATCAGATAATACACTAATAATTCTCGTATATTCCGACCAAATGACCTCTGAAGCCCGAACCAACAAATAGTGCGCTTGGGCTGCCTGTGGAACTAATTGCTTTTGTACAGCCTTTCAATCTATAGCTATATGTGTAAATTTTTTAATTGGCCGTTCGGGTGTGTCTTAATTTTTTTCCTTTTTGACTGTTGAGTGGTAACTGGTCGTGTACTGTAATGGTTAGAAGATTTACTATGCAGATGTCGATACTTTTGGACATTAGATCATTTAGGGAACGCAATAGATGAATGGTCGGGCGTTCGAGTCGGCCGGAGCAGATTTTGAAGTGAGTACCATTTAGAGATAAGAATCGTCTTGGAGTTGCTTTTAGGTTGAGTGTACATTAATGGAAGTTATAGCAGCTAAAACAACGTTTTTTAATCTCCAAAACAGCACTTAACTTTAGACAACTGTGAAAACAAAGTTAAGTCCCCTTTTAAACTTTAACAGCATTGCTTTTAAAAGTTTAGTGGGAATTCTTTGTCGGCGCGAAAAGGCCAAGACAAATTTCATGTTGTAAATCATCAACCTGTGGTATGTTTATGAGATGGATTAAAAATTACGCAAGTTTTATTGTTTTACCCTACCATTTTTCTTGTTTTGTTTGAACACTTGATGTTTCTTTTGTATTTGATATACAAGCAATTCAGCCCACTGAAAACATGGCAAATATTTTTCTTAGTGCCTCCATTAGCAATGAAGATAATATTACCTCGTCTTTTACGCAGCAACACATTTTTAATCAACGTAACATTGTTTTTTATGTACACAATTACTCGCAGCGCCCCGCCGCCACAATCTAACATTTTTAATATCTGCCAGTTGATAATTTCAATTTCGTGCTGTTAAAAGCGGTGTTATTAATCACAGAAGTCTGATATGACAAGAAAAGAATCACAATGTCTCTTGCTGGCACACCAGAATAGCGCAAATGATTGTAAACGTCTTCTCACAGCGTTTTTAATAAATTCCTGATTATTTAGTTTCATTGTAAGGGAAATAGATCTTTTCAAAGCGTAATAGCAAGCAAAAATGCTGCCTTGAAGCCTATAAATGTTTTTCTTTACTGGACCTTACTGAGAAACCCTTGTAAAAACAATATAATTATTTGGCTGAAAATACACACATGAGCAGCGTGCCTTCCAGTAGCACGACTAGTTGTTATTAAAAATGTATACAATATTAAACTCCATGCATGTTTAATTAATCCCTGGTCACAACTTAATCAAAAAGGCTGCGTCCGCCATCTTGGTGATTGTTATGATGTGGTTTTAAGGAACAGTAAAAAAATGTACGTTATAAAATGCTACTGCAAAGAGATTGGCTCTACAGGCAGGAAGTTCACATCGGAGGCTAATTCCTCCGCTTCTTTAGTGGTCTAAACTTCTGCTAGATTTTGTCGGTCTGAAATTATGAGAAATTATTCACTGAGCGCCAAAGCGAGTATCACCTCGTGCGATGTTGTCAATGAAAATATCAGCTTCAAAGAACGGATAGCAAATTACCACTGAATTACAATTCGTTCCCTGTTATCTGGATTGAATCTATCATACCTACCGTTTATTTCAGAGGACATCGTGCTTGAATCTCTTCGTTTAATTCTGCGGTAACTGTGTATCCGACAGACGCAAACCTTGCGCGGAAACAATAACAAAATGTGATTTAGAACCTGGAATATAAAAACAAGAGAGATTCATTAGTGTGAAAGGCTTAGTAATATTCTCGTATCTGTTGAGCCTGAACGGCGTTTCTTATCCTACCTTGTAGTGCTCAGTTTCATGCAAGCAGAGATGTGATGTTAGCCGGTACCACGATTGAACCGCGGACCGACGGACGGCGGGAAATGGAATTACTGTGTTTTGAATCGACTATGAATTTGAACCCGGTTGCAAAACAATCGTACGGAGAAGTTGGGGAAATTTGATAAAAGCAAAAGCTACACTCCTGTTATCAAGGATGCCCCCACAAGGAGATTAGCATAACACTAATGAAATTTTATTAAATTGAATGCAGTGTATACTATTGATTAGGCCATGTTCCTGCTTTTCAAATGGCCTTTTAATTATTTAACCGGATCTGACCACAAACCCATGTAAATTGAAAAGTGCCTCAGGAGTCGTCGCTAATTACGAATACCAAAAACAATTGTTTTACGTTTCGTTTGGAACAAAATTAAACGAAGTTTGGCACTGACTAACAATCATCACAATCTGGCCGATTAATTCTTCTTTGTAGCGTATGGTGTAGCTTAGAAGTTGGTTAAGGTTAAAAACAGTTTTCGCTTGAGCGAGCCGGCAGTCCGCGACAAATCGAAAAGAGCTTGCTGGCTCGAATGCAATTACACCCAATTCTTTAATTGAAATGTATAAATAACACTTAAATCTGCTAAGCAGCAAAAGTAAATATCATATTTCTTTACACGTTTGTTCATTAGCATACAGGCATTAAAGTGTATATGACAGAAATTTTTTTATATGCTTGATAGAATCTATACAGTGTTTTGATAAGGAAAGCAAAAAAATTTTTTCGATAGCGATTTTTCTTCCCCGTGTTTTAACCCGCCAAAAACGTGAAATTTTACTTCCGGTAAGCTACAAAACCGCGCTTGCGAAAACAGAAGACTGGGAATGATTATGACGTCATTTCAGGACATTCTATTTCGCGGCAGGTAAATTAGCTGGTCATTTTCTTATTTGTGTGGCAGTGTTTGGAGAATGTTTTTTGAGTTTCCCTGGCCTTTTTCGATCAGAAACAGCAGAAATCAATAAGAAGTCGCTTAAGCTCGAATTTAATTGACTGTGAAAAAGAATAATGAGTTTTGAAAGCGATACGGAACAGTCAGACGTGGAATCGATCGGGTCGCGCACTCACATCTGCGAGACATTCTGCGAGACAGAGCTAGGATCAGACGAAGACGAAGAAGATATGAGAAGGACCGTATATAGATGAACATATTGCAGACGAGGAATGGCTAACAGAGTACAACCGAGAACTAGAAGAAATTGAAAGGAGAAACCAGGAGTTACAAAACCGCTTTGACAGGATTGTCGAACCCGAGACTTGGTAAGTGTTCGCTCTATTTCTCACCTTTTAATTAATAGCCTGAAAAATCTTATCGTACTAAGATCATACCTTGCCGATAAAAGGAAAGGATAAAAGTTGTACTCTTCAACTTAAATACTACGTTCCTTCTTTTTAATTTCAAAGGTGCCCATGTGGCAATTGTGCTTTTGATCGGCTGCAAAATCCATAATCATGGCTGTGTTCTAAGACAAATTGAAGGGAGCCCAGTGCCCTGAACCTGTGGAATCAAGGATGCCTAGCATAATATTATAATCTCTAAGATTTTCTTGTCGCCGTAGAGCAGAAGTTGTATGCTAGGGGGCACAATGTGCTGTTAGAACACAGCCCTATCTGAGGCTAGCTGAGCCTTCTGCCCCTCTCAAGTCACTTTTTTCTTTGGGAAAATCCTTTTTTTTTGGACATCTAGGGATTTTTATTGTTATCAATATTACTGTTATAATCGAGAAAATGATAAATATAGCCATTAAAGCAACATATTACATCTTTTGATGTAGAAATAGGAACTGGGATAGCCCAGACTTAATACAATTTTGATTTATTATTTTGTTTTTTGGCTTTTGTTTTGATTTTTTGTTTTTGTTTTTTTTTCTTTTTAATAATCCAATCTCAAGCAGCATTTGTAAATTGCCTATACGTAGCGAGATTTACAATTGTACATTCAAAAAAACAAATAGAGTTCCCATTATTATTATTATTATTGTTATTGTTACATATTATTATCATTTTATCAGCAATGAAGGTGGACTAAATATATTTTTCCTATTTTGCTATCTGTTGTTCTTGCCCAGGAGGCAGCTGCAGCTACAGCACAGTCATCAAGTGGAGGAAGAACAAGGAATTGCACTGTTTGCAAAAGACCCATGAGAGGGCACAACCTTCTAGTTGATTGTCCAAGGAACCAGGCACGACAAAACAGTGGACAGTGATAGCAGACCTTTTTATTTTTTATTTTGAGGCAAAGTCAATAAGTTGCCTGGTAATTGCTTAAAACAAACCGGGAGAGATTTTCATCACCATTATTTCAAGTCACCCTCGCACTGTAGATAACTAAGATACAGATAGTTTCTGTGCAATCAGCTGATGTTTTGAGTCAATATTAGTCCAAACTAGTATAAAATTTGTCAATGGACTCTGTTTTGCTATTTGCATTTTAAAATAATGATGGTCATAAAGGCAATATCTTTATTCATTATCTTCAAAACCAACAAATTCTTCATTCTCTTCTGAAAGTTCTGTTCTTATTGCATGGTAGGCACATGCTGGCAGTGGAATCCGCTTTCCCCCAAGAAAACCATGTACTAGTTGCATAAACTCTCTGTAGGCTACTCCACGAAGAAACCTGTGTAAAAGAATGAAGACATAAAAATAAATATTCAAGTCATGACCTCGCCCCGTATTTCAACTCTGTGAGCCCAGTATTACCACATGACCAGTGGCAGATGCATTTCTATTCCAATCATGCCCTTCCTTTGTGTCTCTAAAATCCCCATTTCTTTTAACATCTTATGAACTGAACATTATCAAATCAACTGTCGAATATAGTTGAAAATAGGACCAGGGTTGAAGAGTAGAGCAGAGTAAGAAAAGATGAAAGTAGTCAGTAAAAGATGGGATCAAAATGCTTTATGTGGGGTTTGGTGTGGCTGGCAACCCCCCCTTCCCCCCTCCCACATACACACACACCCAAGCCCAGAGAAAAGTTTGATTTTAGGGGTTCTGCAAAGTACATTTTGCTTTATTCTTTATCATATGTTTTTTGTAATATAGTGATTCTACTCAACCGATTAAACAGGTAGTAGAATGGAACACGCTATCATGCATAATTCTATTGTCTTCTAAATTGTAGCTGTTTATTGTCTGTTTCATGGGTCAGGTAAAATCTCTCTATTATACAAAATAATGGGCAACAAAAACAATCGATTGATTATCTTTCTCTTAAAATGGTGTTTGAACAAATAACCACTGCTTCTGTTGCAACTGTCGGGCGCTTTTGCCGGCTAACGTTGCTTTTGGAAAACACAGTAAATTAGCAATTAGAGATAGCTCTGACAGGAAAAAATGGGCAAATCATTACTCACTTTTCTTCTGTATCAGTCTGACGATACTTCGTACCGTCTATCCTTTTGTATTTACTTTCGGCTGATCGGAAAGACCATCTGTTAAGGCAAACGACACTGAAACCTGGATGCAATGTAATACATTCGGGACTGATTTCCACCTCATTCAGAACGGCGGTACCACCAAGTGATTCGACGCACTTTTCGATTTCCTTGCAGCAGAGGCATTCCCCGGGATTTTGCAGCCGATCAAGAGCACAATTGCCACAAGAGCACCTTTGAAATTAAAAAGAAGGAACGTAGTATTTAAGTTGAAGAGTACAACTTTTATCCTTTTCTTTTTATCGGCAAGGTGTGATCTTAGTACGATAAGATTTTTCAGGCTAATAATTAAAAGGTGAGAAATAGAGCGAACACTTACCAAGTCTCGGGTTCGACAATCCTGTCAAAGCGGTTTTGTAACTCCTGGTTTCTCCTTTCAATTTCTTCTAGTTCTCGGTTGTATTCTGTTTAGCCATTCCTCGTCTGCAATAGGTTCATCGATATACGGTCCTTCTGGATCTGAATAGTACATATCTTCTTCATCTTCGTCTGATCCTAGCTCTGTCTCGCAGATGTGAGTGCGCGACCCGATCGATTCCACGTCTGACTGTTCCGTATCGCTTTCAAAACTCATTATTCTTTTTCACAGTCAATTAAATTCGAGCTTAAGCGACTTTTTATTGATTTCTGCTGTTTCTGATCGAAAAAGATCAGGGAAACTCAAAAAACATTCTCCAAACACTGCCACACAAATAAGAAAATGACCAGCTAATTTACCTGTCGCGAAATAGAATGTCCTGAAATGACGTCATAATCATTCCCAGTCTTCTGTTTTCGCTAGCGCGGTTTTGTAGCTCACCGGAAGTAAAATTTCACGTCTTTGGCGGGTTAAAACACGGGGAAGAAAAACCTCTATCGAAAAAATTTTTTTGCTTTCCTTATCAAAACACTGTATAGATTCTATCAAGCAAATAAAAAAAATTCTGTCATATACACTTTAAAGTTCTTCTTGACAAGAGCGATATGTCGAGATATGAAAGTGCTTCTGTTATTTGAGGCCTCTTTGCTGATAAGACGGACCAGAAAGAAAATTAACGAACCGAGCAGATAACCTCACGTCCCATGGCAGCAGCTTCCATTTTGTCTTGTTTAATTAATTCTGACAAAATAAGCCATTTACTATGTTCTGTTCTCACTTCTTAATTACTTGACGGTTGGCCAAACTTTTGCAAGTATAGTAGAAAGGGAAATTAAATTTTTCGCTGCTTCGCTCTGGCAGGCCGCACATCAATCGTCACTTTCAGTCAAAAATCGCTAAATGAGAATTTGTTTGTTTTCTCTGTTTCACTCGCTTCAGTTGAGTTGTCTTTATACTCGTCACAAGAAAAAAAAACCTTGCAGAAATTTCTTGAAAAATATAGACAAATTTTTGTGAAAATTTGAACTTGATACTTCTTTATGAATTATTTTTAGTTTTGGAGGTATTGGCGTTGAAAAGAGGGACTCTGTAAAGTGCGGATCCGGACGGCGGATCCGGACGGCGGATGCGGACGGCGGACGGCGGACGGCGGACGGCGGACGGCGGACAATAATAAAAAAATAAAAAAATAAAAATAAAATAAAACAAAATAGACGTATAAAATAAATAAACGAGCAGTGTAAAATGGGGTTGACAGGCCTACACGACTCCCCAGAGCATACGAAATATTCTATAGAAACGAACCTCCTATCCCTACACAACTACTAAAACGAGCGCTAAGGCTAATTCTCCAAGAGAACTCTTTCCAGTTTAATGGAAAAAACTACCTTCAAACACATGGTACGGCCATGGGCACGAAAATGGCAGTCGCCTTTTCTAATATATTCATGAACAAGGTAGAGACGGAAATCCTTAGCCGAAGCCTTTTCAAACCGCTCGTTTGGAAACGTTATATAGACGACATCTTCTCGCTCTGGACTACAAACAGAGCCAGAATAAAACATTTCATTGAACAAGCAAACAATCATCACCCTACGATCAAATTTACGGCTGAAATTTCCGATAAGGAAACAACATTCCTGGACACCTACATCTACAAAGGGAAAGATTCGAAAGAGACGCAATCCTTGATGTGCGTACTCATTTCAAACCAACTGAGACATTTCAGTATACCCATTTTGCTTCCTGTCACCCGCAAGGAGTTAAAAAGGCTTCATTAAAGGGGAAGCCCTCCGACTCCTCAGAACAAACTCTTCCGAACTAATATTCGAAGAGAAAATTACAAATTTCAAAGCGCATCTGCTACAGAGGGGTTACCCAGAGGATCTTATTAACACAACCCTCTCAGAGGTGAACTTCAAAGACAGGAAACTAGCCCTTCAACAGAAACCAAAGACAAACCAACGAATCTTGCCTTTTGTCACACAATACCAACCATCAGTGCCAAACCTAAAGCAAATTCTCATGAAAAACTGGCATTTAATAGAACAACAACCATTACTGAGCGAAATCTACAAAAAACCGCCCCTCGTATCTTATAAAAGAGGGCGGTCGCTCAAAGACATACTCGTGAGAGCCAAACTATAGAAAGGCTATTTTAAACACGCGCTGGGGAGTCGTGTAGGCCTGTCAACCCCATTTTACACTTATACGTCTATTTTATTTTATTTTATTTTTTTTTTTTTTATTTTATTTCTATTTTTTTTTTTTTTATTATTGTCCGCCGTCCGCCGTCTTATTCATTTATCTCGTTTATTTATTTTATACGTCTATTTTGTTTTATTTTATTTTTATTTTTTTATTTTTTTATTATTGTCCGCCGTCCGCCGTCCGCCGTCCGCCGTCCGCCGTCCGCATCCGCCGTCCGGATCCGCCGTCCGGATCCGCACTTTACAGAGTCCCTTGAAAGATGCCATCCTCGAGTTTGGCACGTCTTGTTCATCTCCCGTGAAAAATAAATTGAATAAAAACGTTATTGTTTTCGTAGGCATATTAAGCTGAAATAACGAGAAAATTTATAATGGAGAGATAAAAAACAGTTGAAGTGCTATGCGTTATCCATCAAAAAAGCTTTTACCCTATTAACAAACGTACTCTTTCATTTAAATTCGTCTTTGTTTTTGAAAGTTCAACTTAGACTTTTTGAAAGCATTGGTATCAAAAATCATACTTTTCGGTTTTATGTAAATTTGTGGAATTCAAACCATAAGGAAAAAAAAGACATAAAAAAAGAAACTACACTTAGTTAAGAAGTCCGTGAAATTGCAATTTCGATTTCCTATTTAAGGTCATGAGCTTTAACAATGGCCTTCAACAGTTCTTTTCTTATAAGGAAGCACGATAAGCTATTTAGTTCATTACTGACATTCACGGCTCTAGTCGGAGAAAAAAAGATTTTGGAGGTTCTTATAAACAACGCCTTAGAGCAATTCCAGAACAATACTGATATAAATTTAAGTTCTATGCCGTTTTAATTTTCACTTTTGATGTCAAGATAACATCAGATGGGAAAATGCAATATAATTTTTGGCATTTCTCGATCGGCTGGACAATTAAATGACTTCCCGTTGACAGACACCGCTTGTACCTGTTAATTCCTGTGAATATGTCGTCAAAAATCCATTTCACCAAAATGAGAAAAGAAATCTAGCGGGGGGTCAAATGAAATTATATTTGCTAAAAGCATAAAGGGTAGTGTCAAGGGACTTTGTCGTTTATGATCTTAAAGTGATAAAATTAATAAATGAGATTTTCTTTATCTCTATTTTGTAATGAAGGTGAAACAATTAGTTTGTATTTAATAACATGCTGTTATGGGAATAACGCTTGTTCCATTACCAGATCACAAAATTGAAGGTGCTACATTTCAATTATAAATGCTTTCATGATCAAATATAAATTGATCATCTGTTTTAAGAAAAATGTTTTTTGTCAGAGGAAAAAGCTAAAGAAAAGACTTTTTCCCTTAAAGATCCTGTTTAATAGTTTTTGGTTATTTTTTTTTTGGCCGAAGTCACCGTCTTAAATTTTATACTTGTTTTGCTCTTTTCAAAACCACTCTGAAGGTGAAATACTGGCATTGGAAATTTAATTTAAGATCCTTATTTCATAGCAACAGCTTAGTAGGTATTCAAGCTTGGTGTGAGGTATCGCCTTTGCAGAGTGAAAAGTTTTATTCTTCAAATAAAGAAGTCTGAAAAAATATGTAAAAAATAATCTTAAAAACGTATATTTTTATACTATTGTTCCTTTTGCACCAAATTTAAATGACGTTTATTATCATTGTTGTCAGTAACAAATATGATATATTTTCACTCTGCTTTTCGTTGCCTGCGGTCATATAGTGATTCATTCTTTAAACCAGTGTTGTTTCTTGACCATGAACAAAAACACTTTAATAAGGGAACTGAAGTCTTCTTTTGTATCACAACGTGACCTGACAGAGGTGGAAACTTCTCTTGTGCCTTTTGCGCACGGGATTTTTTTGTTAGACAAAAGAAAGACCTAAGGAATGTTTGTTTTACCTTCTCTAAATGATATATCGACTATACCGAGCTCTACTTGATTAATAACTTAAAAGGGTCCTTCTAACCTAGCCTCCCACGCAGGCGTTTTTAGGGGAGCTCGTATTTCTTCCCTCCCTAAATACGAGCTCCCCTAAAAACGCCTGCGTGGGAGGCTACTTCTAACCTCGCTACTCCCTCGTTAAGCTGTAATCTTCAGTACTTTTCACCCACCACTATTCAAGAACTCTCCCAAATAGCTCGTCACGTTGGTTCCAAATCATGCAGCTTGGATCCTTTTCCTTCAACTCTGTTCGCAAGTCATTTCGCGATCAGCCTACTTCTACCTCTTTTACGGCATCAATAACCTTACCTTGGAAACTGGTCACTTTCCATGATCCCTTTAATCTGCAGTCCTGTCACCACTCCTCAACAAGCCTTCAATCGACCATGAATTATTCGGAATTTTCGACCAATTTTTTTTCTCAAAGTTGTATCCGAGATCAATGAGAAAGTCCTCGCTTCACTTCTTATTAATAACACCCCTGAGCTCAATCACCTTAATAAACCGCTGCAATCCGCGTAGAAACGCTTTCACAGTTGCGAGAGAGCTCTTGTTCGCGTTCACGACGATTTACATGCTGTTTACAACCGTTGTTTTGTGGTTTAACTATTGACACTGTCGATCATAATTTACTACTCAGTATGCTCAACTTTAAGTATGCAATTCGTAGAAAAGCATTGCATTGGT